TTTAATGGTAGCAGATCTCAAGGAAGTGATACTAAATGTTGTCACTCAGAAAACAGTGTTCCCACTTTTAAACAAGAAACGCATCCTTGCTGCTTTAACACCAAACCTCATGTGCTGTCCACACTAGTGGTTAAAGTCTGGATTTCCTTTGAAGAGAAGGAAGAAGATTGAGGGCAAAACAGAAGTTCTCAGAGCCTGGGCAGGATACGGAATCATTTTCCTTTCGAAAATATAATAGTGTCTTTGTGTTTAAGGCCAGGAAGCAAGATCAGGAACCTTTGGGTTCTGTTCTTGAGTTAAATATATATTTAACAAGCGATTACTTTCCAAACATTTAGTTTGAACATAGAGGAGTATCCAGGATTCTTGGCCAGGATATGAGTTGCATTACGATCCATCCCAGGTCAAGGAAATCTAAAAGAAATCAGCTGCTCTTGTTGCTTTATTTCTGTACATGTAAATGGTCTTCTTAGTAGTAGAGCCAACTTTTGCTATAGAAGCACAAGGGTGGTCTGAGGGATGGCCTCTTTCCTTGATCCTTTTTAGTCCTATTCATCCTTCTGGCCACAGCTGAAATGATACTTCTCCCATAAAGTCGATGATCTGCTTCCACCAAAACCCAGCTCTCACCACTCTCCCCCATTCCACATGGTATGTGTTCTTTTCCTCCTCCAGATGCCTAATTATATGCTTTCTGACGGTAAGAAGTATGCATTGTGATATTTATCATATCTTGCCTATATTTTAGCACTTAGGGACTTGCCATTTTTCTTCTGAAGTAAATACTTCCTGAGGAGCAGGCCTGTTCTTGAGTCTCCTGGTGGTAATTTCTACCCCTCAGATCATCCCCTTTTTCCACCGTTACCCCTTGTATATCACTTTCCCTTCAGTATGCACGCAAAGTAAATATCTGTTGAATGAATGTTATTAGTGCCTTTAGATTTTTCCAGAAGAAAAAAAAAATAGTCACACTGCTTTATGATTCAAGTGTTGGCAGTTTAAATTCCTCTTAAGTGAGACCAAAAATTTACATAAATTTCTGATACTCAGTTATGATTCTCCCCAGGGGAATTTAGGAAAGTTATGAGGATAACATTTTGCCACTCCCAACAGAATAGCTTTCACATACCATGAAGTTCCCTTCCTGCCAAGAGATTTTCCCTCCCCACTCCTCACCCCAATAGGTCACCAGCCATGCAAAGGGAAACAGCAGATGTCTTTAGGTCTCTCAGATGAATCTTTGAGCAATGACTGGGTATAATGCATTAAAGATACTCTTGTGTATTGGTCAGCTTAAATGAGTAGATGTTTCACATGCTCTGATTTATTTGGAAAGAAGGGACTTTCTACTTTCATTTATAAAATAGTTTGCTATATTTGTTTCTCATTCTATTAGTGAGGCATCTAGGCCTGAGAATGGGTATCTCAGTGTGCAGTAAGCATATGCTGAAACTAGAGTGGGCTCCTAGTGTCCTTCTGGTCTAATTTCATTTTACAAATGATGAAATTTGAGTTTAGACTCAGACAGGAAGAGAAAAGTCTGAAATGCCCATAAACAGGTAGGCGGAATGGGCCCAAGAATCCCAGTCCCCTAACTCCCAGTCCAGTGTGTTCTCTCTCTGTCCCTCCCTCCCTCCCTTCTCTCTCTCTTTCTCCCTTCCCCTCTCTCCCTTTCTTCCTCTCCCTCCCTTCCTCTCCCGTTCTCCCTCCCTTCCCTCCTTCCCTTCTCCTCCCTCCCTTCTCTCTCTCTTCTCCCTCCTCCCTCTCTCTCCCTTTTCCCTCCCTCCCTTTCTCTCCCTCCCTCCCTTCTCTCTCCCTTTTCTCCCTCCTCTCCCCTCCCTCCTTCCCCTTCCCTCCCTTCTCCTCCCTCCCTTCTCGCTCCCTTTCTCCCTGTCCCTCTCTCCCTCCCTTCTCTCCCTTTTCTCCCTCCCTTCTCTCTCCCTGTTCCTCTCTCCCTGTTCCTCTCTCCCTCCCTTTCTCTCTTCTCCCTCCCTCTCTCCCTCCCCTCCTCACCTGCTTAGAGTTGTTGCTGTTACCCAGTTATCTACAGTCTAGTACTAATGGGCACAGGGTCCATCTCCCATGTAGAGCAACTTCACAGAGGGGTTTGCTCTATTCTTAGACCAAATCCTGTGCTGTTAATGCTATTTTTGTACAGGTGGAACAGAGGAATTACAGGATGATTTCACTCCAGAAACACTGCCCTCCACTGGAGAACCATTTTAATGAGCATGACCTCCAAACAGGAAGTCAGGAAGAAGCATTACCTTCCTATTAGGGGACAGTAGGTTGATCTATAATTCTTTAAAAGGGCCACAGTATAGTGCTGGGACCCCATGCAAAGGGAGCTTTCTAAGGCTTCCAGAAGGAAACCTTTTCTGTATTCTCACATACACCTACCTTTACTTTGTTGTCTCAACAAACAACCTTTTTCTCATATCTAAAAAATAGCCACTAATTAGCTTTACTCTTTGAATTAAGATGACCTCCACCTATCACTGTGCATGAACCATACTAGCTTTCCTCTTGGCTTATAGTTTGGCTAGCAGAGTTCATTTACATTAGGAGATAATTTGGATTCTCACTGTGTTTCTCCAGAGCCTTTCATATATGGTCGTCAAGATGACATGCATGGGATGGAAACTGTAGCTTAATGAGAGTTGTTTCTATGGGTAGAATTGGGGAAAGGGGCCTTTGACATTCCTCTTTTGAACAAGCATGAACAACCCTCTGTGGAAATGTTGGCTAGAAATGGAGGCTAGTAGTATAATGAATTCCATTATAATTTAAATCTGAAATCAGGACTAAGCACTGGACATGAGGATCAAATGACTATCCCTTTTGTCTTACCTGGCTTCAAATTTTGATATACAGCCTGGATGCCTTCCTCCCAGTCCCCTGCCTTGTCTGGCAGTCTACTGGCCAGAAAACCTTCCTTGCTCTTCAATAAAGGATGAGAGAGAAAAAGAGTGTGAATGAACAACGTACCAGGGATAAAGGAAGTGGTTTCCCCTTCTCTATAAATTGCCATTACTTAAGATTTAGAAGTTCCAACTGGACTTGCTCATTGAATGCTAGTTTTAACTTATAATCCTACAAGTTCTTTCCTTATCTCATTCATAGGCCAGAACAGTTGACAATAGAGTGCGTCTGCCTCTGTACATCAGCAAAGTTAGACTCTGTATCTAAGATGGGTGCGGTGGCCTGTGGATTGTTACACATGCCTTAGGGACAGAGTGTGCACAGGAGTTCAGGCAGATACGGCCAGTGTCTGTTGTTATATTTGGATGCTATCCCTGTGTTCTTCATCCACACCCTCATTGTTCAGATCAGTCAGGGAAGAACCGACCAGAGGATGGGCATTCATCTGCAAAATGAATCTCCTTACAAAGAGTTCTCAGAGGGAGAAAGTTACTGGTTATGGTCCAGTACAAAGGAAGAGAAGCAAATGTTGCATGCAGAAAGGCAGTGACCTTTCCTGTACTTCCTTCTCTGGGGACACATGCTGGCAGGAGTCCAGAGATAGAAGTCACTTCTTCACTGTCCATTTCATTAGGATTCCAAACCAATCACACTGGCCATTTCTACCTTTATTCTCTTCTTTCTGAGATGTGACTTTTTCACCATTCATTTCTACACTTGAGGAGAGTTGCCATCTGAAGTGTTTACTGATCTTTTCTGAAGAATTTGCTTTCCCCTCTTTCTTCAGGCCTCCCTTTAGAGTTTGCCTCCCTCACACAACTGTCCTAGCTCTGCTGGCTTGTTGTACCCTCTGCTAGATCTAAAATAGAACTACCTTGCTTGATCTTCTTTACTCTAATGTAACTTGAAAACCCTTTGCCTAAACTTCTTTGCCTAAAGTGCGACTAAACAATAAAATGGTACTGCGGTGTTACCAGGGAATAGTTTTTCATTTGAGGGAGGTTCATGCATTCTGAAATTAAAATTTGTGATACTTTGTCGTGAATTTGTATGAAGCTACCCTTTGAGCTACATAGCGGGTTAAAATGCTTCCCAAGCAAATGATTAGAACAAATAAGATATATACAAATTAAAAATAAAAAATAACAAAGAAAGATCTGAAAGTTTAGAAGCAATCTTTTGTTTGCTAAAATTGTTCCTGAGTTAGATTCAGCAAAGTCCTAGAATGAATGTTACAGAGAAATACTGTGGGCATTTTGGGAAAGGGAGGGAGTGTGGGCTGTATTGGCAAGGAACATCTGTGGCAAAGGGAGAATCTGGACCTGGTATGTGAAGAACAGGCATGCTTTAGATTTGCAGAAGGTGGCCATGAAGTGTGAACAGCAGCACACAAATAGGATGGACTATAATATGTGGGAGGCCCTGGGAAGAGCCTGGCACTTTGATGGAATCAGTCATGGAAGTGTGGAGTAGAAAGGCAGGGACCAGCTGAATATCCAGTATCCAGAAACAGTTATGGTGATCCACTTTATTGCAGTCAAACCTTTATTCTTCTAGAAATAAGCTCAGTAACCTAGATGTTAATTATCAGGGTTTCCGGGTAGTTTTACCCACCAGAAGAGCGTCTCC